ATATATATATATATATATATATATATATATATATATATATATATATATATGGCCATATTAGAAGGCAAATCATGTGATTCCAGCATTATTGATGCATCTAATTACCGACCTTGGAAAGCCACTTGGATGCATAACAATATAATTCTACAAAAGAATCAAGTTTGTAGCATAATTTGGAGAATAATCATGCAAGGCCACCTTAGAAGGTGTATGAAAAGCCAAATTGTTACCAACAAAGATTGTTTCTGTTTGATGAGGTAAAAATTGAGAACATTCTGTAATCCTCCTGTAAACATCTAAAGTGCTATCAACAAAGACCGCCTCTGTTTGAGGTAAAACTTGATAACATTCTGTAATTCTCAAGTAAACATCTAAAGTTATGAGCATATTGAAGCTCCTGTTCCGTGATTGAGGCGCCATCGATCACTCTCACCAGTTGGCAGGTAAAAGTACTAAATTGTGTTCATTATCTATGAAAGTTGTGCCGTGTAGAGCACCATCAAGAAGCACTAAAAATTAAGTTCATTAAACTATCAACAAACACACAAATTGATGAGTGAATATGAGATTTAGTAGAATCTTTTCACCTGTTGAAACCGGTAGCTCTCATCATTTAGGATCTTTATCTCACTCTGCAAGAATGAAATCAACTTCATAAAACAACTCAATTTAGATATGAAACACCAAGAACTTAAGTTGGAAACTAAAATTGTAGTTTACTATCAAAACCAGTCTACAGATATCAACACAGATTCTAATTATGATCAGTATCATCACTTATCATTTAGTTGATCAGAACCAATAACCAACAATGTGTGGACCATATCTGGTACCATTCTGCATTTGTTTATTATATTTGGTTTTGTTTGGTACCGGATGCAACGGTTGGTATACCACCTACTACACTGGTACTGTACTAGTCTGGTAGATCACCAAAGCTGATACAAGACCCATATCTTAAAACCTTGATTACCGATGACTAAATATCTTGATTAATGTTACAAAAGATGTTTTATAACAATCATGAATAATGCAGGTATTACATAAATATCAAATAAGTAAAATAAATACAACATAATTATAATTATCTACATAATGTTAACTTTTTTCTGTGCCGAGCGAATTAAATGATTACCAGAACTATTAGATAATAGTGTATCAAAATGCTACCTCAAGTTCATGAATGATTGCAGCAGTTCGCCAACCAGCTTGTGAAGGCCCCCTCAAGTCACTAAACAAGTGATCACCAAAATATATTACCTAAATATAAAACATAAGAATCTTATAAGCTGACAAAACATATAAAATCAACAAACAAGAATGTCACCTAGATATAAAGAACCATGCTTAAGGCACACACCGGGCAGATGTTTCCTTGTGATAATTTGAACAGGAGTTTGTCAAGTGATTCATCACTGACTTTGGAGTGCACTTTAAAATTCTAGCTAGCAAGCCATTCATTTTGAATTTGTAAAATCCTAAAAGTTTTTAAAACCAAAAATGAAAAAAGAGGCAGAACGTTATAAAACTTCCTAGTGCTGGTGCTACATGCCTTTTTTTCTGACTAGTCATGTTCCATGTCCAATGAACATTAACAAACAATATAACAAATTCAAATTTACTAGAAGATTCAGCTGATCTGTGCAATACTAAATGCTGATGGAGATTTTTGGCTTATAGTGTTTCAGAACATGCTTCACTTGGCTCCAATTGTCACACACCTGGAACATAGGTCAATTATTTAAACTAGTGATGAACTCATATACATTGACATGTACAGAATCACAGGCAAATGATGACCAAACAATTTTTACATTGACATATGTAAAAGCACAAGATTGAAACAAACAAATTGACTATATCAACATGCAAATATTTCAAGTATGCACATCACAGAGAGAACAATAATACAAACACAAAATAATGTTGACTCCATTCTGGTTTTATCAGGACAATGAAAAAAAATAGTCATTTAAGAAAAATTCAATAAAAGAAAAAAAAAAAGATTATGTACCTCAGGTCCTTTCCACTTTGTAATTTGTAGAAATGATTTGAGGCAACCATGATAATAGACTTGGCTAGGGAGAAATTTTCCCACAGCTGTAAAAGCCAGAGTATCCTTCTCTATATCATAGCATCTATATGAACACAAGTAATTAGAAACAAATGGAACACAAAACAACAGTAGCAATTTATGTTTTTATTCTAAATCTTGAAAATGGTTGCTTGTGGTTATGATGCTAGAATTGAACATACTCAACTTGCACATACAACAGAAGCAACAAATAACATAGTTGGACAGAAAGCAATCAGCAATCTGAAGTAGCTGAAAGAAGATGCATAGAGTCCCCAAAAATTTCAAAATGCAAACAAAATTTTCCTTCATCAAGTGAAGCATTAACAAAAGCTTCCAGGAATATTTTCCCTTTATAAAGTGAAACATTAATTAAGGTCCCTCAATACTAATTAGAATTAATTAAGCCAATTTCTTAACTAATATTTCTTGTAACATAAATGATAGAAAAAACCATAAATGATGACACAAAGCTTATATTTAATTAAATGATAAAAGCGTAATAGGGATTTACCGGAACGGATGCTCAGATGTGTAGAAGTGTGGCTTATTAGCCTGAGCAATCACAACATCAAAAAGTTCCCTCCAGGAATTTCTCTCACCACTATTGTCCTATTAAATAAGGTAGAAAAATTAAATAAGAACAAGAAACAGAACTTCCCACTGAACATAAGGGAAGTTGGTTAAATACATTAAAATATTTGTGAAATAATAAATTAACAACGATAGAACTAGGAATATTAGGATGCCCTGAGCGTAGATCATGATCCCACAAGATAAATATTGAACTAATGTCAGGAAGTGCGATCACCTAGATTGGGCAGATAGGATCAAAGGGATGATGATCAGCCAAAAGATAAATTTCGAGAGAAAATAAAAACAAACATAGAATAACTAGGGATTATTTTTTTTCAAAATATTAAACATGTAAACTTAAAAATGCTTCATATTTATTTACAAAAAAGATAATATTGTTTTGGTAAAATAACAAAACTATTTACGTTTATAGTAAAAATTGAAGACAATGAATCAAGCTGTAAAATTTTAATAGTTTTTTAGTTCTGGTACTGTTTCCCCTTGTCCTTTACAATTATCCACAGGAAGGCATATGAATAAGAATTGACACACAAAATGTCCATGCATGTGGTTGTCTCCATGGTTCAAACATGTATACCATTACTGCAAGCAAGGTTGTATACATCCTACACTACAGATGTACACAGCCTTACCTAAACAAAATTGTGAGTTAACAATAACATCATGAAGATCCTAAAATAATATGTTAACCTTGATGTAGGCGTCACCGAGACAAGTATCTGCAGATGTGTCGTGTCATGATTTATATTCTCAAATGATAGTGGCAATTCCAATGAAGGAAAATTTAACAAAGATTGATTAAGGTTGTACAAACACATCCATAGTGGGGATACAGATAAGCAGTTTGATGAGTGGATAAATTTGTATTACTTATGTGGGAGGAGGTACAAAACAAGCTTTATTATAAATGCAAAAAGAAAAATGGCTCTTAATTTGACAAGAAATATTGCCCTAAAAAAAGCTCAATGTGGAAAAGATGCATGAAACCAACACCAGTTAATTGGGACCTGACATTGTTCTGATATTCCACATAATTCAAATTCATGCATACATACATACATACATACATACATATTTACACACACACACACACACACACACACAACATCACATGTTTTAGTGGTGAAAAACAGCCAATAATCCTATCGTGAGAAAAATTGCAAGCTGTGCATTTTGCTGGACATATTTCTTACTTGAAAATAGAAATCAAGTTAGCTCACAGTAACCAATTATGTACTATATCATATGTCCGAATAATATTTCAGTAATTGATTTCTGTTTGCGGAGCTTAAGCAACATCAAATGATGAATGTACTACTGAACTATGATAAACATTGTAGACTCTTCTTCTAAATGCTATTTACCATAAGATCAGAACATGAATCACTACTAAAAGATTTTTTGATGAAAGGAAATCAGTTATTTATTCTTAAAGACTGTAAAATGTGTGGACATAGTAGAAAGAGATTCACAGCATAGTAAGAAAGAAGAGTAAAGCTGAGTGAAGGAAATACACATGTTAAAGTGTTAATCCATCACAATTTAAACATACATTGTGTGATTGACACCTAGTTAAGCATGAATATCTCTTTACTATTGAACACAAGACATATAGAAATAACTAAATTTAGGAAAAATCACCTCTAGCATGAAACGCATGCCTCCATCCACAAAATAGTATGGAGAATTGGTTAGTAGAAAAAGTTTCTTTCCCTTCGCTTTCAGCTTCTTTAGAAGGCCTAACACTTGACTCTGTAGAAAACAAGTACTGGGTTCAGTCTAAGTACTTATGCTATAACATGATATTCAGAAACTTCTCATTTAAGGCCATATAAGCAAATATTAACTAGAAAAACTATAAAGACCAATGGACTGTTCTGCTTACATTTTTTAGTAGGTACTTTGTAGGATCAGAAAGAATCCCTTTGTGAAGCAAGCCACTTCTATGTACATGCTGAATTGCTTGGCTTATGTCTTCATAGACATTGGAAGCATCAAATTCTAACTTGGCATCTACAAAATGCTGTATGATATCTGCAATTAGGCATACCTGCAACAGTAGAAGAGAAGCAAATATCATACATGGTAGACACCTACATGTCAAAAGAACAATTTTAATCTTCAAAAAATAGAAACAGAAACTTGGCGTCTACAATGCTGTATGATATCTGAAACTAGGCATGCCTACAATCATTAAAAAAGATAAATTCATACAAGATAGACACCTATGCATCAAGAAAACAATTATCAACTTAAAAAATGAGAAACAGAATGAAAGAATCTGACAAGTGGCACAAAGACATGTAATGACCATTCGACATCAAGACAAACAATTTAAACTAATAAGTAGTTTGGCATGAATCAAAGAATGTGGTGCTCATTTATTTTCTAACTGAGCCAAAAGGAGACTTGGAGAAGCATGATCTCAAAAATGCTCTTCATCAATGAAGAGGTCATAATATTCTGCATGCTAAAAGAAGCTGTTGCTCTTATTGGAAGATATTGAACGCAGAACCAGAAGACTGAAGAAATAGTTATATTTTCTTTGGTTAATTATTAACTGAAAATTGAACTAGGGAGATCTCTTGTAAGGACATGCCTCAGAATTATGGAAAGTTGATGGCATATTTATACAGTCAAACCTGAGAAGATGCAGGCTTGCACATAGATGCTAAACTCAGAGAAAAGAAGACATGACTCTGGTTATCCTCGGGAAAAGAAGTTAATGTTTAGAGGACAATGTACATAACATCTTAACCGTAAAAGGATGTCCTTGCAGTTTCTTAGAATAAATTAAGTTGCTGAATCTTGACATAGGTTATTAAATATCCATCCAAATCTAAAACATACTTCAGAATATGTCACTCTATCATTTTTATAATTTGACTTAATTGTCAACTTATGACATATTCTTGTGATCCCCTCTTAAATTTTAACCTGAACCTAACAAAGTGTCCGTAGTGGGTCAAGCAGTAGTCAGGTGGCGTGCCGAGCAGCATGATCAGGTGGTGCAACATGCTATTGAGCAGCACCAAATGCAGTCTAGCACCTCGAGGTATTATCAGACAGCCATCAGGTAGCGATGATCCAATAAAGGTTAGTAATCAGCTTCCTATTCCACTCTTCCCCCTCTCCCTCTTGCTCCTGCCACTCCGTCACTCTAACCCTTCCTCTTCTGCTATTTCCCATCCTCCTCCAATTTCCACCCACTTAGTATTTCTTCCTCCTCTTCAAGCTTCCATAGTTTTTCATTTTCTGACATACAGACGATGCCAGAAGCAAAATTCATGGACAAATTGACCAGAGTAGGTTTGGAGTGCCAGAGCATTCTGGCTTATTTCCAGCCAATTCTCTGATCAAAGGAGCTGATTTTGGCCCACATTGGCCGATCTTGATTTTCTGAAAACAATGACCAAATAAATCACTAAAAACATACTATCATAAGTGCATGTGTTAAATTGAGTTTCATGAGATCCTATGGTCAGCTAGCTTAATCATTCGTTGACGTTCATTAATATGCACAACCAGAAGAAATAGTTGCTTAAGTTGATTATACTGCCCTCAGGATTAATGACAATAACTCCCATCAAGTTCAAGTTAAAACATAGTGTTCAGCCTTTCCCCCCACCATACGACCACCAACATGAATGAAACATAAGTCAATGTGGCAGCATTTTGAATATATATATATATATATATATATATATATATATATGTGTGTGTGTGTGTGTGTGTGTGTGTGTGTGTATGTGTGTGTGTGTGTGTACTTGAGTTGCAAGATTAAATTATGACCAATTTTGTTACGATGAACCAGTCCAATCACTAAACCGGCCAATTCATCCCAGCTATATTAAATTTTGATAGTCTGATGACATAATCAATACTTAATATATGTATGTGTGTGTATACATATATATATACATGTACATATACATACACATATACATACACATACACATATACATAAACATATACATATACATATATACATATATATGTGTGTGTGTACACATATTGAATTATGACCAATTTTGTTATGATGAACCAGTCCAATCACTAAACCAGTCGATTCATCCCAGCTATATTAAATTTCCATAGTCTGATGACATAATCAATACTTAATATCACATACCATGAAGAAAGAGGGGTAGTTTGCAGAGGAACCCATAGGTGTGATCCACAATTTGGCACTTCAGCCAACTGCAAGTCTTCTAGCTTCCAGTCATCCACTCTCCACTGACAGCTAAAGAGATCAATTCTCTTTGACATTTTTATTTCCTTACAAGTTACAACCTTTACCCTTTTATCTCCCTTTTGTCCATCGGAATATTTGTGACATCATGGTGTATTTCCAAACAATGTTGATGACACATACCATAAGATTGATATGGAGTGTTCTGCTAAAACTACAATTTCGGATCAAATTACTCAAGCCAACAATATACGGAAGTATATCTGATATTCTGATATATCTTTAAACAGTATCGCACAATGGAAAGTATAGAAAAAAGTATATTATATATCTTTAAATTATTCAGGACAGCATCACACAATGGAATGACAAAAAGAACTATAGGAGTTTGAAGATAGGAGATAATACAAGTAATATGTGTACTGGAGATTCTGCAGAAATGGCAATAGTCAACAAAGGCAATAGTCAGATGAACAATCATCGAAGTGAGAATTCAAGTAATATGTGTACGGGAGATTCTGCAGAAATGCATGTCCAAAGATGCTTATTGGAAGGAAAGAAAAACAACAACAAACTATAATGTCCCAACTCCCAACTATTTGGGGTTAGCTACATGGATCTTTTACTACCATGGAATTTTATAGAAAGCAATATTCCTAGTTAACTAAGAACATTTAAATAATTTTTATTTATTCTAGTAACATCCTCTTTAGGCCTACCCTTCTTCACAACACTAATACTACTTGTCTCACATATTCTAATTACAACATCCATAGGATAGGTCTCCTTACCACAAAAGAAATATAAATTCATAATTATTCATATAAGTTGAGCTTACAATAATTTTGTGAAACCATAATTTGGAAAAAGATGCACAATGCAAGGCAGCATGATCCTTATTATGAACATCAAATAACATGTTAAATGTTACTAAAACATTATAAAGAATAGTTCACATGACGTGTATGATCATTAACACCTCAGTACCAAGTTACAGTATATCAACATTAAATTATTGCAATTGACCTTGTTGACATACTTCAGTATGAATCAACAGAAATGAAACCAAACTGGAAAATAATATGAATAAGTTACAATTGGCACCACTTATTAATTGTGTTTTTTCTGGAAACAGAACAATGAAACCATATAGAGGTGTTTCTTCCTGTGTGTAATAACTCACAAAAGCTTACAAAGACAAAAGATTCAGATAGAAGAAAGGGGAAGAAGATTTGAGGAAAATAAACACCAGAACCTAACAGGCATGTAAGACCATGTCATACAGCAAACAGAAGTCTGCACTAATATGAGATAGGAATGCCACATGAAACTCAATTTACCTCACTAAAACAGAAAAAATCCATCAGACCAACAAGCACACGTGCTTGAGCTCGACCAATATGACGAGTGCCATACATGTCCTTTATCTTCTCCAAGCTAAGCTGATGAACAACGATAAGAAATAGGCTGACATTGCAAGTGGCAAGTAATCTTATTGCAATTAAGCTGAAACAAGTAACACATTGGATTTTTCAAATAGTAGAAAAAGTTTACTGCCATGTAAAGGAAAATATTAAGCATAGCATCACAACACTTCATATTGTGAGTTGTGACAATGTATCAACATGAAGGCTATTCTTTTTATGATATACATATTTATCAACAGATATGATACATATAATTATTAGACATACAAACACAACCATGTTCATACATGCACTTACCGAACAACACAGCAACTGTGGGACATTTAGGGTCCCCTTTATTCTTGGTTAGCAACCTGTATCTCTCCCTACTTTTGTTTCTTCAGTTTTCCACAATCACCTATATGAGAGGGTCACTTGCACCCCTTTCATTATATATTTCCCTTTTGAACATTGTGAACTGTGAACACCAAGTTGTCTTTAACCTAAAAGGAGAATACATAATGAACACAGATAATGCAAGTATCTAGGTAGCTAAAGTCTTTTGAGTGATTGAATTTTGCATGCATGGATCTCTCTGTATCTTTCTCTAGTATATACCTATAAGTCAGGACAAATTTGATTTCCTGACAGGTAAACTTCCACCACCTTGTCCAGCATGGTCTGATTATTTATGTAATTATTATCATCGAGCTCTGATGCACCTTAAATCACTAGTGAATTTATAAATGATCAAATGCATACATCTTCAGAAGTTAAAAACAGTAGTCGAAGTTTCTCCTAAATCCTAATTTAAATCAAATGCACTTTTCAGTCTTTTTGGCCAAAAGTTTCCTGCACTTCTCTTATAGCTGTTATCTCCATATCTTTAACTTATCCTAATTGAATTTCAAAAATTATATTAACAAGCTTAGCAATATTTTTGTGCTATTATTTTCTATTTGATGTTGTATAATTAAGAAGAAAGATCAAAAATCTAATTCAGTCCATAGTTTTCATAAATTTCTGAGTAGCAGCGGCTGATCTAAGAAGAGGTGTATGCTAACAAATCAAAAGATATAATGGTTTAGCATAGCACTCTATTAAATATTTTCCCTGTCTTCATCTTTGCCAAAATAAAATGCTTAAAATTTTAGATGAAAATGCTAATACCTACATCATTCTCTTCATACAAGAATGTCTTAGTAGCTCACTTAACACTATAAAATAACTTGGTTCAGCATTTTGACAAATCAACCCAGATCCATGTTCTTTCTTATTACTTCATTTCTTGTCTGATGGAAAACCATAGACTGAGGTTCTAGTTCTGCTAAACAAGCACCCGTAACCTAATAATTGAAATTGGTTCTTCACTTCTTCCTCTTAGAAAAGTTAGCATTATAGCAAACAAAAGTAAAATCGTAATCTTTTCCTCGTTTGTCATTGTCATATCTGTCAACTAAAGAACATGTTATACCAATCAGAGTATGCTTAATTGTTTATTACTAAGAATCTAGCAAGACTGATGTCTCTCATTAATATTATATAATTTCCTGGAAATATTGCATAAAATAATCTTGAAATCAGGATAATCAGATGTCATCATAGGCTAACAGTACTGCCAAATTCATTAAAACAAAATCACAGTGAGATCTGTCCGTATTTCAGCAAACAACTGGACATTATTGGTCCATAGACATACAAGTAGTGGATCAACATAATTCGACAGAATATAAAACAAAAGGTCATCCTGATTACAAGCTGCTACCTAATGTGTATTATACCAAGTTAATCATATCTAATTTGCCTGGAGGCAACAATTATTTTCTTAAACCTTTTCTTCATGTGTTTGCAATACCAAAAAGCTTCAGAAATAAGTAACCAATTTAGAAAGTATTCATGCATCATTCAAGGGGTATAATAACCGCAAGATTGTGTAGATCATCTGGCATGAATAAAGCCGAAATGAGTATCCCAAACTCTGTAGAATAAGGCTTATATACAGATAAATGGCAAAGAGGTCACCTTGCGGCGTCCAAAAAAGCATCCATCTGGCTCAATGGACCCAAAGAAATCAAGCTTCAGAAGACATCCTCTGAGTCTGTCATAGCATAGGCCCCTGATAGGAAAGGTTGGATCGTACTCAAATTGCAAGCAACTTTCAGGATACCGAAGCTGAGAGCCACATCCAATAAAATCTAAGGTCAGCTCACCCAACTGCCGCAGATACAAAACTCCATTGACAACTAACCTCATTAACAAGATGCTTTTTTGCAAGGTCATAGATCAAACTTTGCAAGTGTTCCGAGTAATGAGCCAATGTGTAGTCATAATCAAAACCATAGACTTGTATATCATCCAACCTAACGTTCCTATTCACGTAGATACCTGCAATCCAAAGAATGAACGCGAGATAAGTCCCAAAGATTTCATTTTCCAAACCAAAAATCTTGATAGATAGACACACAGAGAGGCATGCATACCTTCCGGGTTCATCTTAGGCATTTCCTTGAGCGCGACGGGAATGTTAAGAAAGCTCCGCTTTGCCGCCTCATACTCATGCTGGATCTTCTCGATTTCATCCTCGAATTTGATCATGTCGAGTGAACATTTATGATGGTCGGCTTCCACATCCGGAGCCATCGAGCTACCAAACCTCCGCACAGATCCTCCGACCTTAAACCCTAACAACAAAAACCCTACGATTAATCCAAGGAACCCCCTTCCAGCCGGACCAGCAGGACCAATCGAGGAGGCGGAACAAGATCGGAACACTAACCTGCATGCCATCCCGGGCGACAAGAACTGATTGAGAGGACCGACTCCTGCAAGACAAGACGAAAGGAAGGACAGAATGAGCCCGGAATAAAGACTGGACAAGAAGAAAATGACGGTTCATGAGCTCGTCACCATGATTCGGTCGCCGGAGGACAAGAAGGAGAGTAGGGCTCTTCGCCTAGCCGCCATTAACCCCGATGGAGACCGAGGAAACAATTAGGTCGGGACGAGGTAGCTCGGGGGAAACAATTAGGTCGGGACGAGGTAGCTCGATAGCTTGCGGCGGAGACGAGAGAAGAGGAAACCGTGAGGAGCGGAAGAGCGGGAGGATTTCCGGGGACGGTCATCACCACGACTATGGTCGCGAGTCTGTGGGCTGAACGGGCTGTCTTCGGCTGCGCACCCGTACCAGCAATTCATACGCCTTCAGATTACGCCAAGAATACTGTTGAGATAATAGTTGTCACTCCGCCTCGGCGCGTGAACTTAGTTCGTAAAGACTGCGCGTGACCGACGCGAAACTGTCACGATCAATTTATGCTCATTGGAAAAAACATATCACAATTAAAATGTCGTGTCGCATTTCGCTGCATGAAGTGTTAAAATAATAATTAAAAAATAATCAGAAGGCAAATATGTTTTTTTCTTTGTTTTTATTATTATATATATATATTCCACAATTTATTGAATCCATCCTATTATATTGTAGAGCGACACTTCCCCAAATTATTAGTTGTTAAGCTACCCAGCATGGCACCCACATAGTGATTGGATCAGCAGTGGGACCCACATGAGCTCGAGCAATGGTGAGACGGGTAGTCGCAGTCGTCCAGCTTGCTTGGCACGTGTGTCACTGTGGGCGAAAGAATATTTTTCTTTTTTTTATTAGTTTATTAAAATCGGAAGGTTTCTGTGCTTTGTATAAGCTGAGTTGTCATGTATTTGACTTTGATTAGATACTGAATCATTAAGGTTCCACTTAATTGGGTTGTAATAGAGAAGTCAATGCTGATGTCACATTTTCGTATTTTTAAACTTAAAAATCAACATTGTAGTTATAAAAATAAAACATTTAACCCTATTTATCCTATCATCGTCGGCTTTACCAACAAAAGATATAATATGTGCATGAATAACACAAAAATTACGGATAAAAAGATAATTTTAATGATAATAATGAATTATGACGTTATATATGATTATTATGGTGGTAGACAACGATAATGATACAGTAGTTAGTTTTACTAATTCTAAACTAAATATTATAGGAGATAGAATAGTGAGGCATTTGTGTTGGTGTCAAAGGAGAAAGAGGAGGGAGGTGAGACATCTGTATCGATATTGCACTGCTCTACCTCTTCTTTCTCTTCTGTTATCGCTTTGCATTATGTTGCTATCGGAGGAGATAAGCGAGGCATATGTGTCGTCAATGACGAGTAGAGAGGAGATAGATGAGGAAGAGCAGTATGACGCTAGAGGAGGCAAGTGAGACATTTATGTTGGTGCCTCCTCTTCATCTTCCTCCTCATCATCAATGTTCAGATAAACATCAACAAAGTCGACCACTATGTTATTATCGTCAACAACCACAACAACAACCACCCACAATGTCGTATATTACTATAATTGAAATTATCATTTTATATATTATTTTCATATAATTCATATAAGTGTTATTAAGTATTATATCTTCCGTCGATAAAATCAATATAATTAAGATAAATGAGATTAAATATTTTAATTTCATAACTATAAATATTTTAATATAATTTTCTTAAAATCTAAACATCTTAAAAATATAAGGATAATTCGTGATCTAATTAAGACATGCATATATTCAAATAATTATATCTAATTACTGTCGACAAGGGATGATAACACGTGGAAAAGATGTCAACTCGTTATCATGCGGTTCAAGGTCAACAGGATATCCTCGTAATGATCACATCATTACATGAATCTTCACTCTTATATATAATTTTAGACACATTTCACTATCTCTACTTAATTTAATATGTGTATATATGACCTCTCAAATCACTTGTAGATGAGAAATCAATTGCCATATATAGGTTTTATTCCTGATATATATGTGTTTATTTTTTTTTTCTGGTCCTTGTAGATTTTCTTTTATTTTCTATGGGATTCATTAGCTATACATAACATCTTAATGTCGATGCTAAAAGCTTTGAATGTTCTAAACTTTTTGCTTTGTCTATTTTTCTGACTAAGTTTTAACCTTATTCATAGATCCAAATATATTACAGAAGTAAATATATATTAAAAAAAATTTCTATTAATTAAGAGGAAAAAGGTGATAGAGGTTGAAACAACAAAAACAAGTACATATAGATACATGATGAGAGAGATGACTCATTGTTGGTGCAAGCTTCCATTTCCTCTTTAATGTTGTTGCACCTTCTTATTTCTCTCTCTCTCTCTCTCTCTCTCTCTCTCTCTCTCTATTATCATGTTCGATAAGTCTATGGCATGAATTTGAGAAGTTGAGATGAGTTGATAAACTATTAATTATATTATCATCAATCTAAAAAGCTTAAACTTGAAAGACAGCACACACACATCCAAAATCTAATTATGGATAGCTGATAAAAGTTCAAGCAAAGACATAAAATGAAGACAAAAATAAAATTCAACTCTCTCTAATTATGGATAGCTGGTGGACATCCACATCACTCCTTTAGATGCATACAAATGGATCCAACTCTCATCTCACATGTTTCCAAAACAATATGTCAATCATGATGAATAAAAGATATAAGATTAGGAGGACATCATCTTCCTCTTATGTTTTTGTAGGGAAAGCAAATCAACAAGAGGACCACTTGCCATTTTTTCTTTGCCTATGCCTAATGACAAAGTATCCAAGGCATAGAGAGAGTAGGGTGACAAATGCAAGGAATCATATAGAGTGAATAGGCTTTATCACCAATGATCTTTTGGAATGTCCTTTTGACAACTTGAAAGAAGATGCTTGGGATCAATGTGATGTTGATGATATAATATATATATTCCTATTATGGCCACACAATGTAACTTAAACTAATTAAAGACAAACATTTCACTTTAGGTTTTTTTTTCATGGCTTGGAAAACTCCAGCAATTCTTGTGTAAATTGATTATGATATATCAATCGATAAATCATCTAATCGAAAAAGAAATCAAAATTTACTTGCCATTTAATTGAAAAGAAAATAGCAAACCTAATGCATATCCTATCAATACAAGATTTGAAGAGGATCAATATATAATTTTATTATTATAAATAAAAATATATTTTTTTAACCTTAATATGATCCTCATGAAGGAGTAAGCTTATCATTGTATCATTATTCGCCCTCACTTTAACACTTGGTACAAAGCTTTAAAGAAATTATGTAGAATTTGCTTCACAACTCCATGATCATTGATGAGTTGAATATTTTCGACCATTAAAATTTTGTTTATTGAATTAATTTAAGAATTTTTTTATTATCAAATTGACTAAATTAAATCATAAATCAAGATTCTTTCTAAGTCGAAGAACAATAGAAACATTTTTGGATAACTAGTTGACCAAATGTATATTTAGAATGCTATCAATAAATTTAGATTGCATAAAAAAATAAGTCACTGCGATAAACAAGTATTTTTATATATTATTTTTTACTTATATATCCTTATGATTTATAACTATAGTCAGAATTAAGCCTATGAACAAAGATCATCATGCTATTGGGAACCTATAATTATGGTTTTTGACATCGTATAATTTTGATTGAATTAATTCATTGATAATTTAAACAATTTCTACCTTCAATAAATTTTTAAATTATTTAGATGAGTTACGACAAAAAAAAGGTTGATCACTGAATAAATTTGAATTATATCTTAAAATAAAACAACAAAAGTATATAATAAAATAAGACTTATATGTATATGATCAATTACATTGATGAAGTAGGTGAGTGAGACTTATCAAGATGTGCAATTTTAATATCACCAATCTCGAATCTAAGGAGTTCAAAGGTCCATAAAATATGTTGATGTAGTCATCTTCTCACCCACCATGTTAGACTGAATCAAGCTCATGGTTGAGGCATAAATTAGACTAATAAAAGATTATGAATATTTGATCATAATATCATTTAGATGAGTCCAAATTGGATCCTAATGTTGACTATAACTTACGTAGATATAGTAAGATTAGGTCTTATTCATCACAACAATCCATATCATATGGTCTAAGAATGTTAATATCTTTTTCATTAGCTGTTCCTTGTTTTAATGGCCAGCCTGAGTGAGCCACTATGGTGAAACATGTTTATTCTTTAGAATATTTTTTATTTTTATAAATACTATTTTACCACTTTAATATAATATTTAGGTATAGTTTTAGATTTAAAACTTCATTTCAAATCTCAATTAAGATCTCAAATTAACTTGAGTTTCGAAGTGATTGCGTCAAGTATATTCTTGATGATAAATTTGCATGTGACAGACTTATTTTAAAGAGAATTATTTTGAAGGATAATATACCCCTTTGAAGATTCAGTTCTCAAGATATGAAAAGTTTTAGGAAGTAGGTCAGATTAACTCAATTTCATGACATAGATTGATGATAAACTTTAACACTAATAAGTACAATGTCTTATAGAGAGTAGATTTCATATTTGAATTTGTGTGTGGCCTAAACATTCTTCTCGATTTGAAATAATTTGGAAGTTTAAAGATTGCATTTATGTCCTTATAAAATTACAAAAATTATATATTAATTAATAATCAAAGATAATAAAGATACTTTTGGATGACAATTATATTGGTTTAGTTTGGTTTATGGATCAATAAATCTAAAAAACATTAAATCATTCAATTTCCATCCTTTTCTATCTATTTCAGTCTTTCTTTTATTTTTTTCTTTCTTTTCATTGGTCTGCATCGTAATCTTGCAGTAAAACAAAAAAAAAATCTATACATAGTATATGTAATAATTATCATATATGTTTAAAAGTCAAAGGTAGAAGGAATTGATTCATTATAAAATTTTAAAGTTTATTTATAAATTTTAAATTTGAAGCATCCAACACAATCAATTTGTCTATGATAAATAACATAAATATTATCAAAATATCTCCTCTTTTTTTTAACCGATATATCCACCTATAATTAATTATTCATTTCCATAATCAAATCATTCATTTCCATAATCAATCTGATAAATAAAATAAATATCCAATATGATCAAATCATTTATTTCCATATGATACATTTGTCTTAGACAAAAATATTCAAAAGCATCCGACATGAATAAAATATTCATTTACGTAAGATACACCGGTGTAAAAAAAGGAATATCATAAGCATT